ATCAATTCGCTCAACATGGAATTCCCGAGGTGGTGATTTCCGGCAACGGGCCGCAATTCAGTAGTGCAGAATTCCGTACTTTTAACAAGAAGTGGGATTTTAAGCTAATGAGCCCATACCAACGCCAATCAAATGGGAAGGCTGAGTCAGCAGTGAAGGAGGCGAAGAAAGTACTTACCAAAGCAAAGGAGCTTTACGAGAATCCCTACCTAATGCTGTTGGAGAAGAAACACGCTGTCTATCGAGATCGGTGCAGCGACTATTCAGTTGCAGAACTAGAACGCTGCTGCCGCCCGCTACAATGCTACTACAGTCCGAGATAGCACCGGACGCTTCCGTGCACAACCGACTACGGAAGGGGCTTCTAAAACAAAAGAAGTACTACGGTCGTGGATCGAAATGCCTCCCACCCTTAGCTACAGGAGAAGAAGTATGGGTGCAAACAATACCAGATTCGGAAGGAAGTTGGCGGAGGGGAGTGATTGAGGGTCGCAAGGTTGAAAGGAGCTACGAAGCCAGGATAGGGAGCAATATTATTAGACTGAATCGGGTGCAAATTAGGAGAGCACGTAATGGACGGACCCCGCAAAGTGAGGATCGGCTGCAACAACAGAAAAGGGTACCTAAACCTCAGCCCGAGTCATCAAGCGTACACGCAGCGGAAAACCATACGGAACGTATGGCAACAACATATTAAAAAAGAAAAAGGTAAGGCTGTTGTTGCAGGCCAGTCAAATATCCACGCAAAAACGCGCCAGAAACTCTGGCATGGTGACTGTGGAAATCGGGGTCCAATTCCTCCCCACAACGTAGCAGTGTTCAGCCACTCCGAGACGCGGCACAACTGCGCACCTTTTGACAATATTCTTTTACGAATTACCACCCCGTCGTGGTAGCAATTTTCCCTGACTTAATGACCCCTTGCATTGACTGTGATTCGCCCTTTGTTGGTCTTAGAAGAGTCTTCAGGGGACCACCTGTCTTGCTTCCTCTTCGCGTTAGTTGGGAGTCGGTCGGTCACGTGATTTTGTGTGCGTCGTTAGCCGGGCAGTGTTCGCGTCTAAGTCACTAGCGCGCGTCTACCGTAACTCCCTCTCGTGTGCGTCCGTTCCGAGGGCTCAGCGTCTACCCGAATACGTGCGGCTAGGATCGCTAGCTCAATTTTCCATCTCACCAGCGCGTACCCCGGGCTAAGCTAACGCCATCAGGTCAGCGCAAATCCGTTCGATTGGCCAGCGTTCCAAACCGTTACGGTAGGTGTGCTCCAACCGTGGCAGTGACAATCTTATCAGGCCTGCTCTCAATCGTAACAGATGTGATGATGACTTAAAGCTTGGGTAAAGGGAATCGCCTGCCTTAATGCGGTCGATCAGGCGATTGATCGAGCGGACAAGCGAATTTTAAACACCCAGCTTGGGAATAGAGCGTTTGTGTGTTGAGACGGTGTGAGTTCTTTCTGTTGACGCGGCTGATTGAACCAAGCACATAACAGCGGGCTGTTGCAAGTCAGCCACAATACCAACCTGAGAGGCCACCAGCTCCAATTGACTACACAGCACGGTCGGACTGCTTATTGACAAAACATTTTCTCCGCGTATCCAAAACTGGAACATTCTATCTTCTCACGTGAGTTTCGCCCCCACATTAATTTTTTTAAACGATTGGACCACACTCTATCCCATTTCATCGTCATCATCAGTACATGTTAGTCCTGGGTGAGGAACACACTTCAACTGATGTTTCGCAGTATAAAAAATACGATTAAAGTTTACAGCCTACGTAAGCTAAAATGGTAGCATAATCCTAAAAACACATTATGCACTGGCTTGACATCGTTGTTGGAAGAGGAAGCTAAAGGTTAGGGGAAGAACAAAGAGACTCACAACACAAACGCTACTGAGATCGGTTCCTTGTCATGGCAACTAATGTGTTCAACCAAACGTGTTTATCGTCCTTCGGACCCCAGCCAGGCAGTCGGGATGCACCGACTGACCCTAACTTCCAAGTGAGGGTTTTTATTTCTCTTGACCAAGTCATTGTTTGGCCTCTCCTCATTTTCCATCCAGACTCCTGGCGCGTAAACAATGGCCGGTGCGGTAATCGGTGTGCTGGCATGCGGAACCCGTGGCCTAGCCATCGGAGTCTGGTGCGTGATATAACAGTGCTGAGTGGTTCACTCGTTCTTCTTGCACCAAATAGGTGACGCCAAACGCGCTCATTGCTCACGTGGTTTTCCCACCAGACGCGAGGTAAGCTTCGAAGCCAGCACTGGTAGAAGGTAACTAGCCTCGTTATGTCAACTGATCTAGTGAGCCAGGTTTTGTAACCGTTCAAGTGGGTTGAACGGACGGCTGCAATGTAAACTCTGTTCTTCAGGGCAAGAGTGATGTCACGCCAGCGCCACAGGTGGTGGAGATTGGCAAAAGCCTCTCGAGCTTTCGCTATACAGTTCGTGACCTCAATTTCAATCCCATTGGCGCTTATATAGCTGTCCACTACGTGAATTCCTAAACGACTTATAACTGACCACTACTAAGGTTCAGTACAACGGTGCGTCGCTGCTAATCTCAGAGAAGCACTTTGTATTTCGAGGGAGCAAAGTGTAGCCCAAAACAGTTGACAGCCACTTTTGCTTAGCACATTTGGGCGTTGTCATAGATGAGGTCAATGTTGTCAGCATATTCCACGTTAAGTAGGCGCTCACCAAGTAACAGCTCCACACCTTGTAGGTCGTAGCCAGCGGACGCTATTTCCATGACATCGTCAATAGTGAAGTTAAAGAGGAAAAGTGACAGCGGTTATCTTGTTTCATACCACTGGAGATGTTGGTGGACGGCGACAGTTTACGGTAAACCGTCACTCTAGCGGAACTATGCACTTAAATCCCTCCTATGGTATCTATACATTTAGCGGCGAGACATTTCCTCACTGGACGGTCCAGAGGGCACAGCAATCAATAGCATCGAAAGCCACTTTGATGTCGATTAGCATGACTAGGGTGAGTCGCCAATAAACACGACGGTGCTTCAACAATTGATGTAATGTGGACAAGTGGTCAATGCAGCTTTGGTTTCGATGAAACCCAGCCTGCACCTCACGCGTCTGGCTTTCACGGGGGCCACTTTGTCTATGGAGGACGACTGACGCAAGCAACTGAGAGGCAATGGGGTCAGGCTGATACCTCTAAAACTACCGCATTTCGAACGAGAGTCTTAGTTGAAACTTGGGACTAGAACAGAATAGCTCCAGTCTGTTGGGATAGTCTCCGTCTCCAATCGATGCACTTATAACTTGTGTACATCATCCAAAAGACCAGGTCCCCGAATTCGAAGAGAGCTGGACAAAGTCCATCTGCTCCGGCTGTTATGTTCAATTTCGTCGTCTAATCTCACTTTCGATTTCTGCGGGTGAGGGCGTATCTAGGGTGACGGTCTATGGAGTAGGGCGCTCATTCGCCGATGGGGAAACTGGCAACTCTGACTGATTGAACTGTTTCTCAAAGTGTTCGGCTCGAGACTCCAAACACTTTGACAAGCTGTGGATCGGCTGCCCACTCTCGTCGCATATAGTCTCGCTAACACCAGGTCTCCTGCTGCCGGCTTATCATATCAACAGTTGTCTTCATCTCCGATACAAGATGCGAGCACACGCTTCGCGATGTCTCTTCAGGCTAGCACGCATCCATCCCATTTACATTACGTGAAAGTCTGCTTCCATAAAAAGACGAATAAACAAACGATGTGCTCACCAGCCCTCTCCGTTACTGTGCGGTGCGCAGACCAGCATATGCTTATGTAATTAACTCGGTAAGACAAAACAAATCAGAACCTGCCCTCTTTCCTGTCACTTTAAACAATCACTTTACACTCAGCACTCCAGTCATCCTACGGGACCTGTAAAGCAATGCTTTTTGCCTGTTATAAATCATTGTACACTGAAGTAAGTTATTTGCTACAAGACGGAGAGACGTGGCTTCTAAGACCAGAGGACCTGGAGTATCCTTCATTCTTGGACGATTATTGCCTACATGCACCGATAATAGCGAATGATAAAAGCGTATCCACTCCGATGTGTTTCAATGAGTGTCGAGCAGCAGTGTTCTTAGATTGTGGGTTAAACATTCAAAGAAGAACAAGTGGCCTCGATTCGGTTGTGTAGTATGTGCGTTCGCCCAGCGCCTGCAAGAGGTGTGTGTTTTGTTTTCCTGGTTTGGGTAAGGTAAGGCTCGGGGGTAGACAGTTGTCCTAGCAGCTATGGTTCTTGCAACCCACATCTGATTGGCATACAACCTAACACATGGAAGCTCGCATATGGCATAGGATGGTCAGCACTGTCAGGAAACTGATTCACCTGTACTGCTGTGCCTACGAGTAATGTCCATATGTTTTTGAATGTGTAGTGGATGGGAACTTTAATAGGCCTCATTCTAAGCATCAAAATTTTCTGATGAATCTCTTTTCGCACCTCACTCAGCTTTTGTTACTAGGTGTCTATTACGCCACAGCCTTCAGACATGAGTCCGGCTGTTTTTTAGGATTTTATTCTCCAGTAAGCAGGTGGTATTCTAACTGGGTTTTGTTACGATCTTCGACTAGGTTTACTGACAATTCAGTAGTACACTAGGTCCATTGTTCACTCGTTGTTGTCTATAACTGTAAAGGGAAGCTGCAAAAAGTGTCCTGATTATTGCCAGGTTAGTAAACGCCGTGATGTGAATACGGGGTAGTTGACGAGTGTAGCATTCTAAATAATTCTACCTCAAAAAGGATACAAGGATCATAGAAGATCAGTGGATATTTTTCTGTGTTGAAGAGGTCATCGGCCTTGATTTCACACTGAAACAGAAGTGGTATGGCTTGAGAATATTTAAGGCTTGCACGCAAGTGCATGTAGTACTGGACAGGAGTGAGGTATAACTCAAAAAGGCCTCCTTATGCTTAGTGTTATGATCGGTAGTGGACCCAGGGACATTGCCAACCGCTTTCGTTTTAAGCTCACTTGCTGTCATCTAGATGGCAACACTAGAGCTGTGCTCATATACTCGAACCAGATTTTGTTGATATGTAAAATCCGAAGCTTGTGTATTATCAGGGAAAATTTGTACCGTGCAGTGGGTTACTGCTGTATTTTTTCTTAGGTTGGAGTACTCCTGTCGATAGTTACCGTATGAAGAACTGTGGTGGTCACACTCAGCACATTCATGTTGCACCTATTAAACGGGGCCTTGGGCTGGAATTGGCACTGTAATGACCAATTGTGTATACGAACTGAGGAGCTGACACCATGTGCTAAAATATACTGGGTGGCAATATATTCCAGTAATAAAGTGAAGGGATCGATTGCTTATTCCTATAGCCCAGCACTGGCAAATCGTGATGGTAGATTACAATAGTATTGCTAAAAGTGAATTGACATCGTAGTTAACTTGGACAGAGTCATATAAACGCATGCACTTTATGACATAAGCTATAAATGCCAATCAGCCCTCACCTCGGTTTTGTAGAAAGTTCCGAACTGGAAGGCAGCGCGCATCTTTTCCAGAGTTTCTTTACATAGCTGAAGACTACCATTTTCTGCCGCGTTTTCAAACCCCAAAAAGCGACCCTCCAAGGAGAATGTTGCCAGGCGCACATCAAGATTTGAGCCGGGGCGGTATTGCAGGGAGATGGTTGTCTCTGTCAGCGCAGTCGAGGCTTTAGTCGGGTTGTAGTACAGCCATGGCATATCCGTGACCCTAGTTTAAACGAACAATTTGGAGGCGTATCTAAATGCGTTGCAACCATCAACCACAAGACCGGAGGCATTAGCAAGATAATGGGGGTAGAACCTAGGTTCAGCAATCCAACGGAAAAGCACATACCAGTTTAAAAACCCGGGACGCTTGTGTGTTCTCACGTTTGTTAGCCGAATGAACTCTGCACAAGTGCTGCTGGAAGGCACTGTGATTCTGTATCGTCTTTGCAGCTGAAGCGTGCACAAGTTGGCGAGTAGCTGACATGCCGTTACGTTACGATATGCTACCTGGAAATGAAGGAATGCGAAACACTGATCACTTTTGATGCAGGATGGAAATTAGAAGCTCGTGCGACAACAAAAAATGTAGACTTAGAAAACATTTTGTGGGAATATTCAGCGGGTTCTGGATTAGTTATTGTACGTCACCAATATGGGAAGTAAACTTTTTTCGACGAAAACTGATTCTGTGCATTAGATGCATCATATAGTTGAATCCGATTAGGATAAACTAGGATGGGCCCATGTAGCTTCACCAAGTCATTTTACACAATGAAACAGCAAGAAGTGATCGAGAAGTCAGCTCATTTTATTTTCTTCATGAGGTCGGGGCATAGTATTAGTAAATGTACTGACATCTGCCGCCTAACTGTTATACAAGATTTTAGTGTACCAAATTGCACTAGGTAATGTCATGGTAGTTTCAACCACGACGCGTCTGTTAAAGGCCGGTAAACATTTGAGCTTGATATTGCGAGGACAAAAAGTTGACGGCAGCTCAAGTGCATGTCCACGCTCAACCAGTCAGTACACCAGTACTTTTAACAGTCCGCTTCCTGGATGGGAAAAATGCGAAGATGATGCTGCGTATAGATTGTATGCCACGAATCACATAATGAATATAGTGGAATGGTGGGTATATTTGCTGTTTCTCAGAGAAAAATGTTAACATGCAAAGAAAACAACGCATTATTTACGTTCGGAATGATCATACTGTTCTACCAGCAAACCTGTTCTTCTCACTTCTACTACAGATTAAATAGGTAAGAATTTGCGCACTAGCACTTATTCCGGGCTACAATCAAATAGCTGAAATTCTCAACACACGTGAAATTATATCTCACCGAGCAGTACGCTGTTGCGCTTCGTGCTTGCGACTCAAAGTAGTAGGACGAAATTGCGTTGGCGGAGTTGAGTACATTCTAAAACACAGAAGAAAGCTAGGTAAAAACAGAACAGTGATACGAAGTTGTCGAAATTTGACATTCAAAAGCCAACGAGCCAAGCGAATGAAGCGCCCTTAAAATAATTGTTTTTCTTGGCGAACAGGAGCTAGTCCGAAATAAAACTATATCTCCGTGAAATAAGTGTATTACATTAAAAATACATGTATACTTAAGAAGCAAAGGTGACCAATATTGCATCCTTCTGCGAATTCGAGCACAGATGGGTGAATATTGCTGTGTCATAATGAAAGGGCGTCAGAACGGATCGAACAAGCTGAGAGCTGCGACTAGATAATTTCCTAAGCATTATTTATCTGAATGGATTTGCGATTGCTCTAGCTTTATTAAGTACTAAGTCGCTTAACAATTCCGCGTTCACATACAAGCGCTCGGTGGCCCTATGAAAAGTGCATGCCGAAATGGAATTTTCATCAGAGCATCTTTTTTAGTATTCTATTCCGTTCCTGGAATCCAAGTTCAAATTCGGATGCTTCGGCGCCCATTAGCACAACGCTTAGTTGACTAGTCAAATCCATTGTTTGAGGCGTTCAGCAGCAACCTAGCCATTTGAAGGTAAACTATGCTGTTGCATTCTGCATGCTTCTCTGTGCCCACTGTAGTATGGGAAGGATCAATCGGCAAGTTTCATTTGAAGTTCGATTCCATTGACTGCATCCCACAACACCCACCCAATAAATCAAAAATCACTTTTTATCGTAACAATTACTGCCGAGTAATCCAGTGAAATCCTTCGGAAGCATATTTTCCTGTCCACAATGTATCGGAACAACCGCAATGCGTTAAATCTACCACACAAGCTGTACTGTAAATTTTCTGTTCCTGGACTCGGCGTAGCTTATAAACAAAAAATACTCACAGGGTGAGATCTAAGATTAAGGCAAATGATACTTGCGGTCCACGTATTCAAGTTCTAGAAGAGCGACAGGTGAGTATATACTTACTTGTGGCTGTCTTATGGAGGCCACACTGACAGGCAACTCCGGTATCGGATGTCGCCAACCATACTAGCCAGCAGTGAAGATCGCTGACCATCGCGGATTGCAATCCGGCTGCGGTATAGCACAACCAATTCTTCACTACTATGCAAGTTCCTGCTTGTGCAGAGGACAACGATTGGACCTCAGAGGTCAGGACTCCCTGACCAGAAGGGGTGAATCTATGCGTATAATATCACCGTCAGATTTCAATCCTTAATGGTAGGCGATCGTCCCCCATGGCTTAGTAACGTAAGTTACCGGCCAGTGCCGCAAGCTACTAGCAGGCTTGTGTCCGATCCCCTGAAGGCGACCGAGGGAATGTCCAACACTGACTAGTCCCAAGAGAAGGCAACGACTGTTTGTGGCTTTTTTGGCTTGGCGGTTGGCCTATATGACTTGCAATCTGATTATGATAAACCAAATAAAAGATGCGTCTTTTGAATGTTTTTAGCATGCCATTGTTCCTACTTTTTTCACTTTCAATCTTTCAGACAATGAGCGTATGATGCAAGAGATTGTGCACACAGTTCTACTGATTCCGGCTTCGAGCTATGCCTTCAAGCAAGCCTGGTCACTTTGATCCCCATCCAGGATGACGCATGGGCCCAACGGATGCTAGGCCTGAGGCTAATGCTTTCATGCACTGCCACCAACTACTAGGCTGCTCAACATGCCGTCGTCTCCAGCCCAAAATTGCATTAGTGAATACAGTGCTGCTCGGCAAAAGCACAGGTGACACTCGTAGAACGTGACTGAGCCAACTCAACTGGCGCAACGGAGCCAATTTCTTGGTTTTCCTGTGGACGCGACGTCCAAACTTATCACTGTGAGCTTGGCGTTACCACGCTATATGGACGATACTCTTTACACAGCCATTGTCGAAAGCGGAAAGTCGGCTCATATCTTCTATGCGAATTGGCCGACTCCCTCCTTTACAACACTAAGGGAAGCGGAGCACTGTAAACGCATCATCCTATCGAGTTGCTGACGTCCCGACGGCGCCACAATTGCCTGAGTGCCAAATAACGACCGGGCTCCGGCGATACAGCGAGAAACGTATTTCCCGCTAAAGCCAACAGCAGAAACACAGCACCTTAGCTAAATGTAATTCTCTGCCTGTTCGAGCTGTGCGCCTTCAAGGTTGAGCACAGGGACAAGTGTGGGCCAATACTAGAGCAATATTTTATAATTCGAAGGGGTGAAGCAGATACCTAAATGCTTTGATCGTCAAACGGTTTATAATAAGTTGCATACTCCGTAGATCAGCAACAAGGCGGTGTTAACGACATGATCTATGTAAGTCGAGTGTTCACCCGGTAGAGGCTGTTAGCCAAAATTGTGGAACCCTTCTGGTGTACGTAACAATACATTTTCAACCGCAAATGTTAAAAGTAACGGATATTTAAGATAGCCCCGTCGCACACCGCGATTGACAGTGAGAGATGAAATAAGCTTATCATAGAACCTTACCCTGAAAGAGATGCGTTACAATACACGCAGGATGATGGTATATTTCTCTCGCACACTGTCCCTTAGTAAGCCAAGCCATAAGGCTGGTCTATTAGCCCAACTGGATGCAGCTCGTATGTCTAGGAATGCGAACATAATTGGCCTGATACAAATATGGCTGTGTTCAAGGAGTTGTGGAACCTAAAGAATTAATCCATTTGTCCACGGCCGAGAAGAGTACAGGCTTGCTCTTCACGGTGGTATGATTTACGAATTAAGGACAGTCTGCAAAGCAAGATGGATTCCAATAGCTTGGAGGGAACCGATGTTCGACTACCCTCTCGATGATTATTGCATGAACTGCGAGTGGGGAAACAAATGATTCGTCACAGTAGAAAGGCTCATTACTTCATGACGGACTTTGGAGGACAACGAGGGCAGTTTGTTAATGATTACTACGCTACCGTGCTTTAATAGCTTCGGTGGAAGTCCGTTTGAGCCAGCAACTTTGAATCGTTTCAAATGTAGAAGTACGCGACAGACGTCCGCTTCACGGAGTAGATCTAGTGAAATGAGTTAAGGTACACAGCTGAATTTACTGCGCGCACTGACTGAGGGTTGGGGCCGATTGAACAGCGGATAAATTTTGTCGGCCCAGCGGTCAAAGAATCTTTGTTGGTTGGTTATTGGAGGTCCACCGGCCTCGCAGATGACACTGACATCGATCTTTTTGTACTCGGTGGACAGAATGAATTGCAAATGCTTACGAGTCTTTCCAGACAGGCCAACGTTCTTCAGCAAAGTATGCACATACTACCAAACCTCGTGATCATTGCGCGGGCTTTGTTTGAGTTTCCGGTTATCCAAGCGGAGCTGTTAATTCTAACCTGCTTCTGCCGGGACATTTCTAGGGTGGTGGAACAGCTCCAGTGAGCGAGCAAAAGTCCAAGCCCTTAAATAGAGTCGAGCTAGGCAGCAGCTTAATTTCTCTGTGGTAATCATTGCCTTTTGTATAGAAGTCCAGTGTTGCTCAATTTCTTGTGTCGGATTGCAACTGAGTGCGTCCGCCATCGAAGACTTCTGGTCCGCTAGGACTAAGGAATTAGCTAATCCGTTAACATTAATTCTGTCGAGTCGGGTTTATGATTATCATCCAAAACAGACGCACATTTTTACACGGAGCAGCGTGTGCTCCTGGTCAGTGACTTTGGACCAAAGTGAAAATGATTGCAATGTGGTCAATCTTAAATACGATTCTGTTAGCGATAGAGCGATACCCAGTTGCAAAACTTCTCTCATATCAGAAATTGGTGCTCGAGAGACAAAGATGATTGTCTTCGCACAATCTGAGACTTCTATCTCCGCTATCTGAGTGGTCATCATCGAGTACGTGCTAAACGCAAAGGTGACGCTAGCATGACAACAGGCAGTCAATTCACACATTAAAATTTACAGCATGGAAACGATATCCGACTTTTTAGTTTTGTTTCAGAGTTGATGCAGCGTTTTATAAAGATCGCCCTTTACCGAGCCAATAAGTTACGCTGAGTTCACAAATGAGTTGCGTCTCTTCTCACAACTTCCGCTGATCCTGCATGAGCCCTGAAGATGAACTACTCATAGCCGACAGTTAGATGTAATCAAGTTCACTAGTGGGGCTACCGCTTTGCCAAATCCGGTGACGTTGCTGGTGGGTCACCAGAAAGAAATAGGTGATATTTTATCAAGCCGTGTGAGAAGTCGGATTAAATACAGCGCTTTGGTTCTGCAATCGAATTTCGGACAGGTGGCAGACATCATTGTCGACGGACTCCAGGATACGCAATTGATAGGACTGTTACCCAGGCTGCACTTATCTGTACGTTAGAACAAGCAAGACGGAATGAGGCTCCGGGTTAAACGAGGGCCACATTTTGAGCTCTATGATTCTCGGTGAAACCATTATTGGAAATAGATCGATGTCGACGTAGAACGTTATTTTAACGAATGAATAGTGGGCGTGTGATAATGTGATAAAGCACAAACTGCACCAGACTAGCACAATGTATGCCAGTCCATGGTTTCATCACAATACGTGACACTACCCGGTTGCCTAAGCCGAAGTAGAGAGGTGACTTACGATACCATACCCCCAGCCTTTGATTAAACAGCCTGCCTACTAGGCAGTGGATACATGTTAGCAAACATGTTATCGAATTTAACGTTGCCCCCTGTGAAGCACTATGAATTTCAACTGAAAAGGAATGGGTTTTCCTTATTCAATGGAGCGAATTACATGTGTTTGTAAGTGCAGGAACACTGGTGTCAGCGTACGCGTCAGCAGTACTGGCAGATCGCAGCCTTATCAATGGTCTTACTACTAAACAACACGCATTACTTGTCATTTGTTTCACGAACTTGACTAACTTCCATCAGATGTTCGTGTGCTAAGATGTTAAAAAGGTTGCTTGTACTATTCACCATTGATTCGGATACGTTACCAGAATCCTCGTATCTCACACGCAGCCGATGGGATTTTGGTTTTTAGTG